TGCAACTCCAGAGCTGGCGAGAGAATGCCATTGACTCGGTGGGCGACTGCAGCCGTTGATGGGGCTGGAAAGGGCGCGCTAAAGGTGTGGCAGGAGGTGTCGGCCTTGCTGACGATGGCCTTGCTGATTAGACTGGTGGTCGAGGGCTTGGTGCAGTTCACTGAATCACAGCATGTCACCGTACACACGTAGAATGGTTGACCAGTGGTGGTGATGGATTTGCTGCTGTTCACTGGTAAGCTGGCGAGGTGGTCAGCAGGCACTGGGCTGATCACTGTTGACTGCCTATGCTGCTGCTGCAGCTGCTGCTGTTGCTGTGATTCGTTGATGCACATTGAACAGTTCGTCTTGGTGACCTTCTCCATTTGGAGCACTCCATTGTCAGCACAAACGAGCTGCATCTTGCATCCTCGTCGCGCAGACGATCATTCCCAAAACGGCAGTCCTTCTGGTTGATGTGCAACTGTTGGTGCAGTGGAGGTACGTCTGCAGGGTGCACTCATCTCCGGGCGACAGTGCTCGACACTGTGCTTCGACACCGATCCCTCTGGCGCTCCAGTGACGACTGGTGGTCAGTAAGCCGCAGTAAGCTCTCTACACCACCAGACCCAGTAATTCCAAACTGCGAAGTGCAGACACACAGTCAGACAAACAGACTATCTGACATCGGCCAGAGTCGATAACGACAGTAGCAGTGGGCGGTCGCGCGCTTTGAAGCCTTCGAACGGCTCCTAACTAAAGCTGTACGAGATTGTGCGCACCTAAATGCAGGCAGAAGGGTTGACGAGCTGCTGCTGAAGCTGACTGGCTATATTCGGCTTAGCCCTCAGCTAAGGCCACGCACTCACACAGACACAACTTCAGCGACCAGTCTCCCAGTGACCAGTGCGGTGCAAGCATAATTATAATTAGCTGGCTAATACTGTTCTGCAATGTGTCTGCCTGTCCACCACCGGTACCACTCGATGTCGCAAGTAGCATTCGGCATTGACATTGTTTTCCTCGTTCGTCCACTGCACGGCCTCCATTTACCGCTGATGAAGGCTACTGCTGCTGCTGTTGGTGCTGCTCTAACAGCCAAACAGTAGTAGTCTATCGGTATGCCGGACGTGCGTTCAACTTGCTTCGATGCACCGAGCTGCCTCCAGTGCAAATGAGCCCTTCTTCAACGTCATATTCATCGACAGTGCCCATTTGACTGTCCATTTGCGTTGATGAATGATGACGGCTGACCAGTGTTCAGTGTCAATTACCAGTGCGGCAGTTCCGAGTCGCTGGTCAGTGTCAAGTTTGGTGAGTTATGAAGATAGGCAGTCAGCAGTCAGTCCGGCAGGGTCAGACCATGACCGAACTGGGAGATAAGGGGAAGAGACTGACTGTGAGGAGGAAAGAGCGCTCTCTGCCTTTCAAATGCACTCTCCAGGCACTGAACGGAGATCCGATTCGATGGCTGCAGTGCACTGCTGTCCGCTGATCAGAGGCTGGACCTCCGCGCTGACTACGAGCCATTTCCACCCTGACTACTCGCGCAGCTGTATTCTTTTGTTTACCTGTAAACATCAGTGCACAACAGAATGCTGATGATCCACTGAGATTTGGCATTGATTTTGGGAATAATCTGGCACACAAGGCCACTCTCAGAGAGGATGCTCTCCCCACCGAAGCATATGTTTACCGAAAAGCATTGATCACATCCTTCATTTGAAATCACTTAGCATATCCAAACCTAATCACTCCATTCAGCCATGATTCTCCAGGAAGAGGAGTCCATTGAACTGAACAAACGTCCACATCGCCGCCCACCGAGACAAGCACCTCTGCCTCCACCTCAGCTCATGTTCTGTGCATTTGTCTTCTGGACAGCTCTGTCTTTTGCCGCTTCGATTGTCCTGTGCAGTGGATATTGGTTGCCATACTGGATCCGCGGGTCATTCCACCAAGTGATTGACGTCTCCTTTGGGGCCTTTCGAAGATGTAACTATCCTGCTCTGGATGACAATGGAAGAATTCAAATTGTTCCGAAATGTGGGCGTTATGGTTAGTTTGAATGATTGTTTATTTACATTTACTGACATTGTTTTTAATATTTTAGTTACCTTTGATGACATTCCAGCGTTTTCTTGGAAGGTATTTTTTAAAAGTTCAAGTATTAGAAAACTAAATAACAGTTTGTAATTGTAGTTGACCACCATTTTAGTTGGGATTGGAGCAGCATCCTCAGTACTAGTCTCATTCATACTGCTCTTTGCTTGCTGTATGCCACATTCACTTCGGTCTTCCAATGGTCGAAAGCTCGTGTTTTTGCAGTTTTCTTCCTGTACGTTGAAAAAAATTTATCATGCTTGAAACCAAAAACTAATTTTGTTTAACCTCCAACTAGTTATGCTGATTCTCACCGGTTGTGCCCTCTACCCGTTGGGTTGGGCCAATCAAGAAATGCGCGATGTCTGTGGCTCAATGCCTTATGAACTCGGTTCGTCAACCATTCTGTGCTTTTAATTTTAATATTCATTTTGACAATTTTTTCAGGCACATGTGAGCTTTCACTATCTGCCTATCTTCTAGGCGTTGGTCTCATTGCTCTTTTAGTCTGCATTCTCTTTGGTCTCATTTCAACACGCAAGTTGAACAACTATACAAACAAGTACGACAATCTAGTGATACTCAATCAACATTAAATCACAAAAACTACATTCCTCTTAATTACCTCATATCGTAAATACTCACGTTTTATACATATTTTTCTAATGTACGAATCATATTCTTTTTTGCCTAAAAAAGAAAAGTGTAACTGATTTTTTCATTTGAAACCCATGTCTGTTTCAATTCTATGCATGTGTTTGTGTGTAAATGGACATAAGCATGCACATCATTCAAATCAACAAATAGTATCGGCACATCAACAGATAAAAAACATTTTTACTATCTCAAGGTTTTACTACAATAAAAGGTCATATTTTTAACGTGTTTGTGTAATAAGAAACTTAAAATAAATTAACAAAATGAACACAAAACTATTTGTAGTGTCTCAAATTCCAAACATTGGTATGATTCTGTTGTGTCTACAAATCAAATATGACAATGACATTTTGCAGGCAATTTGTTACGAAATGAAATTATCAAAAGAGCACCTGAATCAAACGGCCGACTAGAAAGTGTTGAAGTGGTCGTTGTCAAATTGCAACAAAAAGGTACATTATTTTTAAAAAACTTGCAAATTGTAAAATTCATTCTTTAATTAGGAAATGAAATATCATTCTCGAGAAACTTAACTTTGACCCATGAAGACTTTAAACAACTTAAAAGTGCTGAAATCTTACTAGTAGACAACAACTTGCTTCCTTCTGTCATCAAAGCTATTGACAATGAAGCGTATCGTCCTTTGCTTGGCTCTCTAAAATGGATTCAAACTTCCTGGGCTGGTGTTTCCGAAATTTTCCAGGACAACATTCCTGATGTTGTGAAGAAAAACTCATTAACGTTAACCCGATTTAGCGGTCCATCTTTTGGTCAAGCAATGACCGAGTATGTTCTAGGACAAATACTCAACTATGAACGCAGTTTTTACTATCTCTATTCATCGACAACAATACAAAAACAATGGCAAGTTACAAATTAAATGATTCAATTTTCCGCAACTGTAGGGTTTTCAATATTTTCAAGGTTAACTTTTGACTGGTCTTCCCCGTTTTTTGAACGAGCGCGACGAGCAGATGAGCTTTCAGCCCTTATTCTTGGAGGGTCTGGTGCAATTGGATCATTTGTAAAAACAATTTTCGTTATTTGTGCTATCTCTAACTCAAAGTTTTCAGGTTTCAAAAAAGCTTGCCGGCATGGGCATGAAAATGAGTGCCTTCGGTCGCAGCGAACGCTCAGAGGAAGAAATTAAACAATTCGGCTTTGAAAAGTATGTTTTACTAAGTATAAATTACTTTTAAGTAATTTTTGAATATTTTGTTGCAGATACTCTACAAATTTGCAAGAATTACTGCCTCATGCTGACTACATCATCAGCATAATGCCCGCGACTCCCTTTACTACTGACCTTCTTGGTAACGACATTCTAAGCATCTGTCAGAATAAGGTTGCTCAATCATCACTATTGCAAACGTAAAATTCCCACTAACTAAAGATATCCTTTTGCTTACTAGAAACCCGTTTTGATTAATGTCGGTCGAGGAAATTTGATCAGTGAAGAGGACATTATCAAGGCACTGGATCAGGGCTGGATTCGTTATGCTATTTTGGACGTTTTTCGAACCGAGCCTCTGCCTTCCACCTCGCCGTTGTGGACTCGAGAGGATGTGCTCATCACACCACACGTCTCTGCAACAACTCGAGGCTGTGATGTAGTGAAACTTTTTGTGGAAAATTATCTCCACTACGTAGATCGAAAACCGCTCCAATACGTAATCAATTTTGATGAAGGTTACTAGAGCACTTGCGCCACCGATAGATGGCAGATGACAGTGAGTTTTGAAAAAAAATGAAAAATAAAAAATGAATTGGATCCATTTACATTAACAAATTAAGTGTTGCCTGTTGCGCAAAATAATTGCGACGATTTAACGATTACATTGTATGCACTTAACAGTCAATAATCTTGTGAATGACTTTGATTGTGGGCACCTTTCGGCCTTGATAACTTTCTCATCAAAAGAATGTCCGGTCGAACGGTCATTAGGGTGGTCAGTGCAGTGCCCATCGGAAGGGTTGTCGCTACCTTGTCAACTACCTGCTCCACAGCTCGTAAAGTGCAACCAGTGCTGAAGGGAGATAGAGAGCTTGTGTTCAGCAGAGAGGAAAAGTGCTGTGAGATTCGTGCAATCGATATAAAATGCATGTGAAGCATCGTCTCCGATTGACTCCAGTGGCTGACTGGTGGAGCTGAGCTGAGCTGAGAAAGTAGAAGTGTACAAGGTCTTGGCAATTACCTGCGCACTAATCGGCAGCTTTAATTGACAAGAGAAGCGAACGGAAGCGCACTCGCACGGTGACCTTTATGGCGATCGCTGTGTGACTGTCACAGAGGCAGTGAGTGACGGGCGGTGGAGTCAGAGAGAGAGAGAGAGAGAGAGAGAGAGAGAGAGAGAGAGAGCATCGTTTCAATTACAGCGAGACGCAATTGAAAGGCGAATTTGAGAATGAGCGCTAATTATTGCGCGATCCGAAGTGCCTCTCTCCTGTCTTCTTAGGCACCACGGTTGCGCTCGGGGCTGACAAGTGAGATATATAGGGGAAATGGTGATGCTGATGCTGATGGCAGAGTGGAGTCAACTCGTGAAGACTCGGGCAGTGCGAGGCACGACAAACACACATACTCATTCGGAGAGAGAGCCACTACTGCAAAGACAATACGATACTAGCTGGGCATTGTGACGGTTTTGGAGGACAGCAGGGGAGAGAGAGAAGACAGGACAGCTCGCTGACTTAATCAACTGCCTAACAGCAGCAGACGATGTGAACGCCAATGATACAGCAGCGCGGTGCATTAGGAAGATTTTAAAGAAGAAAATTACTAAGATTAATGAAGTCACTCGGGGAAAGTGCAGTCGGCAAGTGATCTGTGTGTGTGTGTTTGTGTGTGCATATGTGCAGAATCGAGACTGAGTGGACTCGCTGGCCGGACAGTCAGTCCTTCCACAGGGGACACTGATGATCGAAGGGACTTGAGCAGGCACTGGAGGTGAGAAGATAGTGCCAGCTAGGCACCCGAGGCACAATGACGATGAGACGTTAATGAGCGTCCTTGCTTAGCTCGATACTATTACGATTACGACAAGTAGCAGGTACAGGTAAGCCACTGAAGAATTTGTTTCCTGTTTCCCACCGTTTAGCATCGTCTTAATTGAGCGAAGACAAAGAGGCGCAGTAGCAAAGTAGCACTTGGCCACTGTTGTCTCTGTGCCACTGTTGGCCACCACTCCACTTACTGCCATCACGATTCGACTGAGAGCAGGCAGTGAATGAACAGTGAGACAGTGAGCAGATGAAACAGATGAGCGAAACCTATGCAAATGATGGTGCTGTTGTTTCTGAACAAGGTGTTCACCAGAACTGACGAATGGATTCGTAATGTGCTGTTGAGGCGCAGTAGAAGGGCAATACGAGCACTAGTACTAGTGCCTCTTGCTCTTTTTCTCTTTCCTTCTGAAGATGTCCCCTCTGTCATAAACGTGGCCATCGGCTACTCGTACTCGGTGCACTCTGATCAACGAAAAGGAAATGAACCATGCCACTGTGAGATGCAGTATGAGGCCAATTAAGTTTGGTTGCTACTGCTGCTGCTCTGGCTACTATTGCACCAGTCGCGCTAATTGTGCCTAATAGAAAGTGATTGCAGCCCACCTAAAGAACCTGACAAGTGCTGATGGCCAGGCAGTCAGCAAGAGAGAAGACAGTCAAGAAGACGACAGACAGACAGAAGGAGCAAGCGAGCATTCTCTCTGCACTGTCGACAGTACCGATGTGCCAGCAGATTAGATGATATCACTGCTGGACGGCACCTCTATTGCACTGCTGCGCACTGCTACTGTGCTCGCCACAACTCCTCGGTCAGCTCTAATTAGTTGGCATCGACTTCAATTGGAGCAGGATACCTTTGGCAGCAATTGGCGATGGCATTGTGCGGCGGAGTCTAGTCTTAGTGTCGCAGTTTCTCTCCTTCTCCTTCATCTTCTTCTTTTTCAGTGGCAACATCAACAACAACACTGGTAGCTATCTTTATTGCCCGGCCACTTTCTTTGCCTTCATGCGAAGCACATGTCGACACAGGTAGCACACACACAAACACATTTAAACACAGTCGAAGTAGGTTTGATGGGGAACAATGTTCCCCTCGCTGAGCTCTCCATTATCGCGCCATCACCTCAACAGTGGCATCGATCGCAAATGGAACTGAGAGCCCTTTAATTGCCTCCACCATTCCGCATCTGCACGGCGCATCGTTCGATGACACAGACACCGCTGAGAGGCGACTGTGGCTACTGTGCTATTTGGATTGAAAATAAATCACCATCAGCATCGGCAGAAAGGGCACCATTAGCAGCACTACCACATGACCATCACCCGAAGACCATATGTCAGTGAGAACCCGTCGTTGATGAGCACAGCCACCACTGGACGACGGTGAACCAGCAAACCGGATGGTGGCAATTCGATAGTGGTCACTGGGAAAAGTGTGCGCATGGTGCGAATGGTGCAAATGTGTAGCAACATCAGCAGCACCAGCAGCAGCAGCAGTTGTCGTCGTCGTTGCTCGCCAAAACCTTGGCTTTATTGTGCAAACGTGCGATGGTACTTTAATGTCATGATTACTACCAGTAGAGCTCAGGCTGCTGCTGTTGTGAAATGAACAGGCGTTTTTGGAATAAATCGCACCACTACCTAGCCACCTTGTCCTCCAAACAGTGGCCTCAAATGGAACATTTCGGTAATTGAGCAGACAAAGACGTGTCTGTGTGACGGTAAATTGAGCAGATTGCAGCAGGCGCATGAGAGCATAAGATGAAGAAGAAGAAGGAGGAAAGAAGAAGGGCCAGCGAGTTAAGAAACGGATACGTGCTACCGTTTCAACTGCTGGGCTGCTTATTTACGACAAGTCGCCTAGTAATTAGCGCAGAATATGTCAATGAGCAGAGTAGAGCAGAGTAGGAGAGGCTGCGCGGGTGCGTGCACGCTGCACTTTATTCTTCCTTTCGCTCAGTCTTCTCTTCTTTGCTGTGCTCTGCTCTGGCCAAGTATCTCATTAGTTGCGTATCGTCGACAGGTGATGGCATCGATTTTGAGATGACCACCACAGTGCGCGTAATGGTCTGCTCTCTCTCTCTCTCTCTCTTTCTCACTCTCTTTCCTGATAAAGTGCTCCTTTGTCGTCGTTCAATTCTCGAGAAGCACCTGGTTGCAGCGAGTGAACGAACAGCCACTGAGGTGTCTGCCGCCCGTCACAGGCAAATGATGATCACTCAAGTACTAAAGGTAGGAGAAATGGAGAAAAAGAGACGTGCTGCCAACTGTCCTTTTCCACAGTTGTTCTTGGGACAATCGCTTCAGATCACCAAGGAGAGCGTTCCAAGACGTGTCCTGTGTGTGAGCGTATGTTTGTGCCATCTCACAAGTCAAGTCAACTGCAACTGCAATCTGGCAATGGCTGCCTGGACACTGTTTCACTGGCTCAGAGTTCATCTTGATAAATGATTCATTAAGCCCGTGCAGTTTGCTTGTCGACTTCGAATAATCTTCTTTTAGCGCGCAAGCTTAATTACCGCGAGCACGCTGTCCTTATGTAATTTATTTGGCCAAAATCGTCTGCCTGCAATCTCGGTGTGTGTCTGTGTGTGTTTGGTTCGATCAATTGTCTTCCCGTTTGTGCCATCATTTTTGGTCAACCTTTTCAGTATACTTTTCTGTACTGCAACCGTTCAGTGTGCATGCTAATCACCAGCAGCAACTGGCAACTGGAAAAAAGGCCAGTGGCAAGGCACCGCCACTGGAAGTGCCCCTAATTGGCCGCTGCGTAAGGTCCGAACCGATTTCGGAAGAGGACAGCCAGTCATAGTCAGTCAGTCGGGATGAAAAGTGGAAGAGTGAAAGAGGAGCCAACCATCACCTGCCTCTGCTCATCTTCGTCTGCCACTCTTTTTGCATCGTCTAATCCCAATAATTGGTCCTGCTAATTAATCCTACCGAGTAGTCATTTTGCCGTTGGTCCCTTTGAGTAAAGATCAACAAATGTAAATTATGACATAAGTGTCTGCGAGAGGACGAATTCTCGAGCAGGCTGCTCTTGCTCGATGATGAGCACTATAGGCAGCGCATCCACTACCACCGACATTAATTACCAACAGAGGCGATAGCACCAGCACCAGCAACAGCCGCACCACCGCCACCACTACCACGACTGAGGCTGTTGAATGGAGGGATGAGAAACGGCCATTTCCAGAGAGCACTAATTAAGTCGACATTTTAATTACGCCTCGCTGCCAGTGTTCACCTCGCACTGGGCTCTTCAGTAAACTGGATTAGGCAAACACTTCACAGGAGCACTCGTTCAATCAGCCATAGCGCCATTGTCGCCTGCAATAGAGAGAAAGACAGCTGACAGCAGTGCTGTTTCTGTTTCTGCTGCTGCTGTTTAGTTGAACAACACACCAAGCCAAATGTCAACGGAAAAATATGCAAATGCAGATTGGGCAAATCAGTTTGCTGCTAACTGCCCTCAGTTGGCATCTTTCGATAAGGTGCACTGGCCAGTGCTGTGAGCATTGTCTGATGGTCGACGGCGATGGTTACAAGTTCAGCTGCACTGCACCTTCTCCCAAGAGCACCTTCTTTGCACTTGCACTGTGTCAGTGCTCAAGTAGACTGGCGTCATTGTCACAGGGGACATTCGCCTCGTAATGGGCTGCAGAAGAAGTAGAAGTAGTTGATGTAGTAGCTGGCAAAAGTTGGCAGCAAAACACTGCAACTGCTGAAAGATGACAAAGATGAGCACTGACAAGCAACTCACCGAGGGTCACTGCGGTGCACATCTTCTGGAACTGAACAATTCTTCAAGTCAAGTTCATTTCTCACTACAGCGAGAGCTACTGCAGACGGTGAACTGCCGCACGTTCGTCTCTCAGCAATGGCATTCTCTGGTAATTAATTTCATTGCCAACTGGCGTGCATCACCAAATGGACTAATTCGCACTGGCTCTAATCGCGTTCTATTACGATGGATAACAAGAAGCGGCTTCTTCTTTGGAGAACGAGAGTGCCACCACCGGCGAGGCTTCTTCACTTGCAAAGCAGCCAATGAGTGAGCCTCTCGCAAATGAACTCGACATCGGTGATCGGCTAGTGAGTACCATTCTGGCGATCAATCATGCAAAGCTGGGCTGCTACCGTGCACTGCCACCGAGTCGCGCATTTTCCCCCCACTGCCACCACTACCACCACTTAATCCCAATCCAATTCCATCGTTGACCCTCGTCAGCACTTGACATTTAATTAGCTTAAAAGGCAATCGCCTCGCTGGCTCTTCAAACTTACCGCTCCACTGTNAATTCCATCGTTGACCCTCGTCAGCACTTGACATTTAATTAGCTTAAAAGGCAATCGCCTCGCTGGATCTTTAAACTTACCGCTCCAATGCTAATGCTAGGGCATTGAGACAGAATCGATTATAATAATTATTGATCGAGCACACTGTGATCATCACTTCTTGATGCTGAACATGGCTACAGTGCAAATATTTGTCTGTCTTTCGTCTCTGCATATGTATGATTTATAATTGATTAATCCATTTCCAGTAATCCCATCTTTAAGAGTCTGAGTAAGGAAAAAATGTTCTGCAAGGAGCGTACAAGGCGAGAATTCAGATGACTGTACATTGTAATTTAAAAAACTAGAGATCTCTTTTTGGTCACTGACAATCTGTGTGAGTATGATTGCCACGATTTGCACCAACTCCTCAAGCAGCAACAGCTCGTTTAGCAATTAAAAAGTGGAATAGGAAAAAAGATGAAAGAAGAAATAAAGAAAGAAAGAACTGTGTTATGTAGACTAAAAATAATTACGTATATCATTGGAGCAGAGCGAAATGGGAAATCATTTCCAAATCGATTATCGATTGGTCAGTGCGCAATACGAGCCAACAATGGCCACTTAGATTGATGATGATGCCAGTGCCAATTAATTAATGGCCACAAAGGGCCGATTGAGAAAAGCGCCCATTTTGGAGCAGTGATGGGCTCACGAGCTAATTTCTCAATACCACTCTCCTGCAAAGTGCTCTCTTTCTTTTTTGCTGGTGCCGGTGCTTCACTGTGGAATTGTGTGCTCTCGATGGATGCTCTGTGCTCCATGGATTGCCCGCAGACCTGACTAAATTAGATTACTTTGAGATGCAGTCTCGTTATCGAATTTGATTTGTGTGCCCAATGCATGCGTAATTTGATTTGACCGTGCGCAGATCAGAAGCCAATCAAAGCAATCAGAGAAACAAATAAACGAATCATTTCGAGGCGCACAATGCTCAGTGCCCACTTGGCGCCATTAGTAGCCGGAGACATCGATTGAATGCAATCGAATTCACTTTGCCCATTAGGTCGATTGATGTGATGTCGACGATCATCGCTCTACTGTCCGCTGACGCATAATGGTCGCTTACAGCCAAAATGTAGTGTGCCACCAACGAACGATGTAGTGTGCCGATCTGCTCTGTGTCGTAATCCTATTCGATTCGGTAGCACAACCGTCATCGTACTTTGGGAATCGAACCAATCTGATGAGGATACTAATCACTGCCCAGTGTACTTCGCTCAATCAATCGATCTGCACTTTGCTGTTTTATTTTTGTTTTAGCACACACACAACTCTGCAGCACTGTCCAACGGCACAAGTTAAAAAATGCCAAATGAACATGTTGAACATGCAAAGTGGCAAGCCGTATCTTGAAAACATTGCAAATGACAACGTCAACAAGACACAAGTTGTGGCCAGTGTTTTTGCCAATAAGGACTCATTATCGTCGAATTGAGTAGTATACAAACTGGATAATTATATATATGGCCACTGACGAACATCAAGATGGCACCTTTCAACCTTATCGTCAAGAAGCACTATCAATTTCTGCATGTCATGTTTGGCCTCCAATCGGTAGTGACCACCACCACCACATCACCACCAACATCATCATCATCACCACCACCACCAAGACCATCACCGGCAGGCACATAGTGCATCGCGTCGGTGTCTTACCTCAGCAGGCAGTTCGATGCTGCCTATCTTGGCTTAACTCGCTGTTGTTGACATCACTGCTATAATTATCGCGTACACATTTGCATTTTGCCAATCACAGCCAAAGTCAGTCAAATGTGCGGCAGGGCGACTTGTGTGAGCTTGATCATCATCAGCAGCAGCAGTGACAGTAGTGCTTGTAGACGTACAACTGTGATACGCAATCACTTGTTGCAGCGTTCTATACGCCGCTGTCACTGCCACTACCTGTTGAATATCACTTTCGGTTGAAGTTGGTCAAAGTCAGGTTATCTTTTCATNATTTGCATTTTGCCAATCACAGCCAAAGTCAGTCAAATGTGCGGCAGGGCAACTTGTGTGAGCTTGATCATCATCAGCAGCCGCAGTGACAGTAGTGCTTGTAGACGTACAACTGTGGTACGCAATCACTTGTTGCAGCGCTCTATACACTTCTGTCACTGCGACTACCTGTTGAATATCACTTTCTGTTGAAGTTGGTCAAAGTCAGGTTATCTTTTCACTTGCATGTCAGTGCTGCCCACTGCCATCCTCAAAAGATGTGTGTGGCAATTCAATGGCACTTGATTTCAGCGGGGAAAAACTTTCCGTTAATAGAGCAGTTTTGTCGCCGATGAATGCAGTGGTGGTCTATGGTTACCTGCAGCTCTCTTTCTCTGTTCAGGGCTCTCCCCGCTCTCGCTGTGGTGGCAGTCGGCAGTCGTCCGAGACTTCTTTCTATTTGCTGCGAGCACTGGAAGATTGCCCGCCCACGCAGGATTGTTGTTGACACGGCGCACAGCATGTTCAATGAGCACGCCTTGTCAGTCGACGAGAGACTCGTTGTGGGTGAGAATGACGACGACAGAGTTGGGCGAGTGATTCAATTAGTAGTGTTCGATGAAAGCGAGTCTGATCGTGGGTATAGAGCACCTAAAGAGTGGAAAGGAAACCGAAGAACATGTGGTGATATTGTCTGGATTGGCCAAATGTAGACATGACTAGCGATCAAAAGGAGCATTGCTTAGCATCAATCACTAATTGACGGTTTGCCACTACTTGCAGTGCCACACTGAAAGCAGCCCACACAGCTAACTCTAACTCGAGCCCCGTTGATTCGCCAGCTTCCACGGGGCTTCGATATCGACAAATATGTTAGTGATCGCCTTTTTGTGGCAGTGAGTGTGCTCACATCAAATGTCATCGGCCAATGATCACCAAGTGAGCATTCATTCCTTCCTTCATTCATCGAGTAGGCCAACGCATCTGAGCAATTGACAATTGACTTTGTCTCCAGTGCAAGTCAAGGCCAGGCTGCAGTGGTGGCGGAGGTGGTGGAGGCAACCAGTAGTAGTGCTGGTGACAATGACAAAGGTGCTGAAAAAGTGTGATTTGCCCAAGTGCTTGCCTGTACTGCCTAAGCGACCTTACATAATATGCAGTGTACACTATAATTAGGCCTAATCGCGTCAATTGAAGATAGACACAACTGCCTTTCTTCGCTTTGTTCCCGGGCGCACTGGGCTTCGAGGTCGCAGTCACTGTCAACCTGGATGGCCTCAGTCACCTGAGTCACCTCACAGTGACAATCGTACGGCACTGGTACAAATGAAGAGCACTTGCAGATGATGGCGGTGGCTGCTGCTGAACATTAGCGCCTTTATCGGTGCTCTCCCATTATCAGTGAAGTGTGAATTACACGAGCAGAAGAGAGAAGGAGAGAAGGGAGCATAGTGGCTCTTTGTTCACCAGACTACCAGCAGCAGCAGCTACTGCAAGTACTGAAGGCGGTTATAATGGCACCGTTGGCCGGCCTTTCTCTTCCTCGCCGTCTTTGGACTGCAGCATTGTTCGATCTCACTCTCTTATCGCCGTCTGTCCATAAGGATCATGTGCTCAAGTGTGGTGGCTGCTGTGGGCGTGTGCACGCTCACAGTGCAGGCCGCGCCCAGCGAGGAAAGTTAGCGTGGAGGAAGCACAGCCAAAGAAAGAGAGAGAGAGAGCGAAAGAAGCAGCGGCAGAGGAGAAGAAAGAAGAGAGGAGAGTGCTGCTGCTCTGCCGGTCTCTGCCGCCGCAGTCAACAGTAGCAGGCAGCTTTTCGGCAGCCACGCTCTCTGGAAAGAAGCAACAACTCCGACAACTTCTCAGAAGGCATCAGCGCCGAGTCAAGAACGGACGTGTGTACTGCACATTGCTGTCAATTCCCTTTTTCTCGACTCGTGCAATACCAGCAACAACGAAGGCACCCAGCATCGCCGTACCACCCTATAGTGTCCATCGCTGTGATTCTCTCCCTTTACTCATCCTCTCTCAATTCTACCAGTCTACCATCAACACTCTACCAGCACTTTCGTCGCCTCTCCCTCCCTCCCTTCAACGAACACCGTTTTCACACATCGGTGCCATACTTTCATTGTTGCCAGTTGTCAGCTGGCACACGTGGTGATATACTTGCATCCATTCTTGTGCTGGAGCTCTAAAGTTCGTAACTACCTGTTAGGTTGCGCAACACTGCTGTGTGGACAGAATAGCAGTGGTCGTCAATCTCAGTGTCCACCATGGAGACCTGTGTGCTCATACCCTCCGAGTTCAGTCTGATGCTTCGCCAGCGAGACAGCTTCCTCCAGCTGGTGAACGGACTGAAGAACATCAAGAGCAGACAGAACGCCGCAGAGAAGAAGACCGAAACCGAAGCCGGTGTTTGTGTGTACAGCAATCAGCTGATTCGCAAGGGCGCCTGCTTTCTACCCTTCCAGGGCACCATTCGCCTTGACCGACTCGAAGTCTACTCGCTACTCAACGATGACGATGTAAGTTTGTCAACAGCTTTTTCTTTCATTTCTATTTTCCACCGATGCTATCAGTCCGCTCCTAAAGTCCACACCTTTTGACATACGCAATTAGCCAGCAAGCCAATTACCCCGCACTTCTTTTGCTACCTGATAATCGCTAAAGTTGCCTGTGTGGTGCCTATGCGCTTGTTGATGCGCTTACCTGCAATTGAAGCTCTATGGGAAAGTTTGTTAGATAGAGAAGTACGTGGAAATTCCATTTCATCAGGGTAATTTACATAGCTGAATTTTTACTAGTGTAATCTTGAAGGGTAGCTTCTGTACTCTACACGAAGGTCAGAGAACTTGTCACATGTGGTAAAGCACTTGTTGCTTTTCCACCTGTTGCTTACCTGTTGTTTATGCCACCTTGGCTGTTCTAATCTCAAAAATCAGTCTCTATGGCAATTTGCTCGGAAATGAAAAGCTCTTTTCTCTCATCTTATTCATATCGATAGTGCCGATGCAACGCCGACAAACACTGCAGTAGTTCGACGGGCATCATCATTAGCGAGTAATGGCAGTCGTATGTTGCTTATCGACTCCTGCCGATTGCATTATCGTTGGCTGAGGAAGAGCGGCGACGGCTGGAAAGGCAGTTTAGAGAGTGTAGCAGGCAGAGTTCTGAAAACAACAGCAAATGATGCGGCGAGAGAGTGAGTCGCTTTATCACTTAATTAGCAAGTAAAAACGGTGAACAAGTGTTCTTGCTCTTGATCACAATATATACCACGGGTGTAGATGCGCAGGCGGCAAAGTCAGAAGGGGAGAGAGAGAGCACACAATGAACACTGACACAATCGCGCCTTTGATGTCGCCTCACGTTTGACTTCCACTCCCCTTTGCCTTCTCCAACCGTCACCGAAGTATTGGCGGCGGCGGCAATGTTGTTGCGACTTGTGACGCGGCGGCACAGTGCAAAGAACATTCGGCATGCCTTTATCCGCGACCGCCATCGCTCGAGTTGAGTCAATTACTGTACACAGGCATTGGTGCAGATCGGGCTTAATTCTCGCAATGTGGCCGCATCATTGCCACTAATCGAGTGCCGCCATGGCGGCAGAGCATCAAGAGCAGACTTCGTTCCCTCTCTTCTGCTCACTTCTCTGCCGGCGGCTTCTTCGCAGCTTAGCTCACCCTCGATCAGATCGAAATAATAAAGTTCCTTATTAGTGAGTAGTGCCCCCATCTTGTGAATACTGTGTTTGCCTCAGACACTCGTTAAAAGGCGACCGCTCACTTATAAACAAACAAAAAAATCTGAAGCTGCTTTTTGTTGTCTGGTAAAGACTCTGGAGACTCTGCTCTGGAGTGGAACGCTCAGATTTATAGGCAGAATCAAGTTGCACTCGATTGACTGAATGTATCGAACCGTTCCGGAATCGGGCGACGGAATTGTTGTGCACTGCCGGGGTGCACTGCTACGCCGGCAAACATCTGCAATTGATTGAAAGCTGCCAGGACAGTCTGCTGCCAGCGCAGACGACGCGTGTGGCAATGGAGATGGGATGAAACAGAAATCACATCATCATTGTCAGGCAGTTCCAGAAGGCAGAAACCATTCAACCAGCTACTACTACTACTACTGTCTTGTGGAGACGAGGTTAATGTCTCATTGTTCACACATTTTCTGCACTGACTAGAATATGCTCTTGTAGGTGCTCTGCACTTTGTCTGCCTAGAGAAGCATATTCAGGGACTTAATTGGCACCAACTCATTATACGCATATCGATAGCAAATCGATCGAATCGGCTCCAATTAAAGCTTCAATTAGAATGACGTTTATGAAGATAATGAGCGCTGCTGATGATGAGAGTGCACTGGCACTTTGCTGTGCAATTTCCCCAGCACACAATATCGACTTTGTCTCACCTTATCACTTGCCACTGTGCAGCACTTGATTGCTCTGGCCTAGGATGGCTTGAATTACTCAATCGATGAGTTGACGGCAGCAGCAGCAATTGGTAGCAGACAAGGTAGGCTTTTTATTTTTTATTATTTCTCCTTCTTCGACTTTCTCACAAGGGAGGGTTAACTTTTGTAGGGACGGATTTTTAAAACAAATGGTTGTAAAAAATAGTAAAAAATTTTCTGAAAATAATGGTCTAAAACATTCCCGTCTGTAATTCCGAAAACTGGGTAAAATTACCCGATAAAGTTCCGGTTTTAGTAATAAACCAGAGGGCAGCGTGGGCAGCAGCGACCAAACTTTGAAAATGTTTCCTTGCAAAGCAAGCGCAGACTTTGTTTATGAATGGCCCCAAAACAAAAATCATTGAAAATTTTTTTAAAAACTCAACTTTTGGACAAAAACTGTCTTGCAGTGTTTGCCCACAGATGCGAACGGGCTGCAAAAACGCTCACTGTTGTGCATGGTGGCGCTGTCGGCCTCTATAAAATCGGAACTTTATCGGGTAATTTGACCCAGTTTTCGGAATTACAGACGGGAATGTTTTAGACCATTATTTTCATAAAATTTTTTACTATTTTTTACAACCATTTGTTTTAAAAATCCGTCCCTACAAAAGTTAACCCTCCCTTGTCAGCAAGTCTTGTCTCAGACAAGTCATAGCGCACTCTGTGCTCCTGCAGAAGTCGTCAGCATCGTGCAACACCTGCCACTGTGCATTCTTTGTGTGGTTGATAATCTTTTAATTACTGAGTACAAGTACAAGCACGCCATGAAGCGATCGTGATCGCAAGTGTGCTGCTGCTGTTGTTGTTGCACTCGCACAATGGCAGGCATCACAGAAGCAGAAAGGGAGCTCAGAGAGCATCCACAGAGTGCTTCAACTGGCCAATCAGTAGCTCTTTCTTTCTTTTCTTTCTTCTTTCTTTCTTTTTTGGCTACTGTGCCGCCGTTTTCCCCTTGTGCATTACACGGCCTAATGGCTGCTCGACTTGGCGCGCTTGTGTGAATTCCTTATGAAATCGAAATCGACAGCAGCAGCAGAGCACGCAGAATAATAGAGACAGTCTGTCTAATGGAAGACACATACACAAGAACACACTCACACACACTCGCTCACTCGCACAGTAGCTGATGGAGAACAGAGGCGCAAACCAGTTTGTGCCATTTTAAACTGTTCGGTGCAGAGCCACTGCAGCCCGCCAAACGATATACCTCACAGTGACTGTCTTCCTCTGACTGGTAGCAGCGAGCACTCAGTTCCCCATAGATTTCTTTCTGATGTGCGCTGCACTTTTCGCTCACCGATGCTGCACGATCTGAAGTGATGCGAGCGTCAATTCCACTTGCGCATCCATTTCGCCCGGTAATAGATCGGTCTGGCACATAATGACTAGCCGCGCTCACTGGCTCGGCAATGGCAATGGCAGTGCACCATGCTGATGCTGGTGCTGGCAGTGGTGATGGTGGTGGTAGCAGTGCATCGCTGGCCACTGGCGAGCGCCGCTAAAGAGTGGCGTGTGCTGGCTCGCGCTTTAGCTTCTGTCTGTCTCTCTCTTTCTTTCTTCCATTCTCTCAGTGTGTGTGCCTAATTGGCAGTTACCTGTGCCATGATAGATTGCCACCGCGAGAGCATGCAACCACCATTCTGCAGGAATTCCTTGCAAATTACAATTGTGCATTGTGCATAGAGCACGGTCACAATAATTAGCCATCCTAACCGAGATAGATCGATTAGTCAGCGCAGTTGCCACTCGAGTGGGTGATGGCCACGACGGCTGAATAGGAGGTGGATGGCAGCAGAAGCAATAGACCACTGATCGGCGGCAAATGGCCCAGACTAGCAGCCGATCACGAACGCGGATTCGATGCCAGTTGCCACTGGAAGTGAGCAGACAATGCCAGTCGGCCAGCACTGCACCGCACTATTATCTCATCATCTTGTCTGTGCGGTTATTGATGGCGGTGTGTATGTCTTTTTCTTCATTTCTTAGTTTCTTTTTCTTTTATAATACTGCTGTACTGGCGTATGCGAGTGTACGCTATTCAGTACGACTGATCAGTAGCACTGATCACTCTCAAAGTAGCATAGCATCAAATGTTTCCATGGAGCGAGAAATCCTCGCCAGTGCTAGCATTTAATTAAATTACCAGTAAAGGTAATTATTCGCAGGGACTTTCAGCAAACTTGCGCATCTGTCTGTGTGACATACTGCTCGGCATGTACACACAAACACACACACACAGGCGCTCTCAACAAGTGTGACAGAACAGATTTTCAGCAGATTGGTGATGCTGATAGGCGGTGTTAATTGACGATAATGACCGTGTTGCTTGAGTAACGGCGAAAGTGTTCACATCGACTGCTGCAAGGCGCTCATTCAAGGGCACGCATTTCTCTTGACATTACTGATAACTTTCCTTTCTTTCTGCTCTGTCTCGATCTTTGCTACACTTGCTGCTGCTCAGAGAGCAGATATTGAGCTCATGTGCACATGGCACAAACAAACAATGCAACTTCTGTTGGCAATTATTAATGGACACTGGCGGCAGACAATCGATCCACACTGCAGTTTCGGCAGTCTTCCAGTCGTGCTCTCCTTCTCACTCGATGTCATTCAGTTCCTTGAGATGCTTCGCTTTGACTTTCGGCAGACGCCGACAAAGCGCGTCACTGATGTGAGAGAGTGAGAGAGCGTCAGAGGCGCCCAAGAGTCGGCGAAAGCACATTGAGCGCTCAATCGGGCACAATCGAGAGCACGAACGAAGACGGCGACGACCGCGCACGCTGAGCTCTCTTCACATCTTTGCTGTGCACTTCTTCCCCAAAGTGCAACTCAGTGGCAGACTGTGTGTGTGTCTGTGTGTACTGATGCACCGAGTCTGTGATGCAGCATCAGCATCAGCAGCCATTCTTGATCGGCAGCACCGATTGTGATGATGGCAGTCGGTGGATGTGCGAGACGACCAGCCAGGGAGAGCAGTACTGCGCCGAATGATTAGACCCGACCAGCCATCCAATTAATGCTGCTGCTGTTACCTTCACGATAACGTTGCGTGTAATTAAAG